AAACGCTTCGATGCAAATCTTTAGATAGTGTTTAATTTTAAAAAATTGGTGGATTATTCCAAAAGCTACATGATCTGCTAGTTCATTATTAATATCCTAATTAAGATAAAGTATGTCGAATGAAAAAGGGATTATTAAAAAATATTATTTCTCATAAAAAAATAATGTTGATCCATACACTTTTCAATATGTCATAGCATTATAAAGTTAAAAATGTAAAAAATAAAATCGATAATTTTCACACAATAATAGAATTCGGTAGCCATTTTCACAGTGAAGATAAAATAAAGTCCGAAATTTTTTTTTACCATGATAAAGTATATTACATTAACTTTAACTTAAGATATATATAAAAGTGTCAGACTTTCCGGAACACTGTCAAAAGTCAAGTTGAAAAAGTTCTACTTTCTACATGAATTTTTTAGATTTGAACCCCCCTCAAATATAGGGAAATGGTCCGATTTAAAAAAACAGTATGTCGAATGAAATATGTATATAAATACTACTTTTCATGAAAAAATTGTATTGATCCATACATTTTTCAAATAGATATAGCATAATAAAATTAAAAATGTAAAATACAAAATCGAAAATTTTCACACAAAAATAGCATTGGTAGCCATTTTCACCGTGAAGATAAAATAAAGTCCAACATTTTTTTTTTTCATGATAAAGTATATTACATTAACTTTAATTTAAGATATATATATAAGTGTCAGACCTTCCGGAACATTTTCAAAAATCAAGTTAAAAAAATTAATTTTTTGTGAAAAAGTTGTCATTTTAAATCCCCCCCTGTGGGCAAGTAAAGGGTCACATATAAAAAAAAATATACCAAATGAAAGGTAATAATATCATGCATCTATAAAAAAAAAAAATTATATTGATTTCGTTATTTTTAAAAAAGTTATAGCAATTTTAAGTAAAAAAATTTTCGAAAAATAGCGATTTTTAAATTTGTAATTTTTTTGGAGGTTTCCCCCATTTTCGGGGAACGAGGGAATTTTTTTCAATTTTTGAGGGTAATGTCTTCGACTAGATACGATTTGTGATCTTTTGACGTATCATTAAAAGAAATCAGTTCGGTGAGAGCTGAGAAAAAGTGGGAACAGACAAAAAAAAAAAAAACACATCTTAGTTAAAATAATACCTTCTCAGATTCGCATCGAAGCTAAAAACAATAATGAAAATTAAAGATATTTATGATAACCAATAATGAACAATGAAAATGAAATGATTTTTTTTAAATTAATAGATTCGTATTTTTTACTGATATTTAAAATGCTAAAATTTACCTATTTTTTTCCCGTGTACATAAAAAAAAAAGCTTGAATACTCTAAAAATTATAAAACATTAAGTATGTGTTTATATAAAGTTAATCCATTAGATTAATTATAAACGTAAATAATTTTTATTATAATTAATATAGTATAAATTAATTATTACAATGCTAAGAAATCAACGATAGTGTTAAGCACAATTTTAACAGAAATTATCTCAAGTGAAATGTGTACGAAATTTACAATGATTTATGGAGTCCTTAAAAGTATTTAAAGTAAAGACTATTTCGACATGGATAAGTAAAAAGATTTCATCAGGATTATCTAACACAATATAAAAATCCATTTTATTTCATAATAAAAAATATTATATTGAATAAAGTTTACTTTAATAACTTTTTTTTATTAAAATGCTAATATATTTTTATCTGATATTTTGTGTACAACTTCTTTAACAACATATGATATACAAATAACTTAATAAATAATTGATTCATGAATTATTATTTATTTTCTACTACAAATTAATAAGTAAATAAGCTTTATTTAATTTTAAAACAGTCACATAAATTCACTTACTATATTAAAATTATTATTAGTTGAGAATAACTAAGTAAATTTTAATAATCGTTGACTTTGTTGATAAATTAATAAAATAACTCTTAAATTTGATTTTAATCATTAAGATATAAGATCTCATAGTTAACAGAATTTCTGAAATTAAATTAAAACGCACCTACGTTGAAATTATACACGAAAAATTGTTAGTAGAGTTGACAGTGCTCTATTGAAAGAGTCAAAAATAGAGCTTATCATTTGTTCAGCTAGTATATTAAATTATATATTTGATCCAAATATTATGAAATTATTTTAGACAAATTAGCCATAAATCAATTTTTATGTAATTAAATTTCAAATGAGAATTCATAGAAGCAAACAAAATAAAAACTTTTGAAAAATTTAAATGATTAATTACCATAATAAATTTAAACAATTTTAAGGCATTATATTATCATTTAATGAATTATCAATCAGTTATAGGGCTTCTATACTTTATTTTCCTATTTGTTTAATAATTTATTATATTTTACTCAATTATATTTGGACATTTTATGAGTATTCATAAAACTATACATTTGTGGATATTTGAAATTTTCCTTTTTAAGTTCAATGTTTGATGATGAAAAGAAAATTCTTATCAAGTATTACAATAACTTGTAGATACCGGTATTTTATCTTATAAATTATAACGTCTTTCTAGGAAATATTACTGTAACTATTGAGTTTACCTATATGACGAATGACCTTGCCAAGATCTGTGACAGATATAGATTGGCGATTATTTTCCGAGGTGAACAACAAAAATGCATCTCCTATTGTCTTTTGAAGTTCATTTTCAACTGAAATACGATTACCACTTTACAAAATGTCGATATTTAGGAAAGTAACAGTTGAAGGGTTTGCCTACTCGTTACTTCGATGTTATCTTCTTCTTCATTATTACTACTTTCGTCATTTGCGCTCATTACGATCTTAATCTATATACTATTTCATAAATTAAAATTACTTTTTCGTACAATATAAAGGTTAAAACTCTATTTTAATATTTTATTTTTAGAAATCTATAAATGGAGTAAAGGATCGATGAGTTGTTACTGCAAGAATATTTATTATTATTTTTATTACCCTTAACATTAATAAATATTAACTTTGCTTAGCAAAGTTCGTATAGTCTTATAGTTTTTATAAAAATTTCATTTTTTAATTTAAGCCAGAATTAAAATTTTTATTTTTTCTACAAAACAAATAAAAAGTGCATCATAATTGTTTGATTCAATTACTTTTTATAAAATTAGATACATGTTTGCTCTTTTTATTCCAATGATAATTATTATTATTTTAATAATTATTATAAAAACATTAATGTTTGTTACAAATAATCTTTTTAAATATTATTACTTTTAATGGTGTAAAATAGTAAAACTGTTTTTAATGAAGTTTCGATAAAAATCTACCTGAGTACATTTTTGACATTTATTAACAACATGCAACCATTTTTATTTATTACAATAATACATAACACGTACCAAAACTAATAAATTTATATTACAAGTATATAGCTAATAGTAATAAATAACAGTACAGTAAGAACCCTCATAATTACTTATTTACTAAATTATTTTATATTTTGTGATCATGTTTCATATTTGCACAATGATTAATTGAATGAAATTATTTTTAAGCTATGAAAAATTCTTAAGGTTTAAAAAATATTAATTTAATGAAACGTGTTGATTTACTGAATAGATAATAATTTAGCTTTAAATAATACACATTGTTTGTAAAATAGGATAATAGAAACCAAGAAGATAATAATCATGAAACCAAGACAAGAAGAATATAAAGTGTACTTTTGCCATAGACTTCATAATAAGTGGATTATGCTTCAAATGAATTTAGTGTGAAATATATTTTGGGAATAATTTTATAAATAAAATTATCCCCTATAAAAAACAACATTTTCCTTTTTCTTTGGTTGTATAAATATTATAAAACTTACTTTTTCTTATACGAGTAATAGTTTTTTAGCGGATGCAATTTTATCGGCAAGGGGATTGTAAAGTACAGTCCAATTGTAAATATATCTGTGACTTTTACACATGGCTTCACAATTAAATAGTTTTTTTAGAAAACAACCTTAAGGTACTTTTATAAAGTTATTTTCAAAAGTTGATTTTATTTATATAACTTTACGACCCTGAATTACCCATTTAACACAAAAAGCTTTTTTATTTTGAACGCCAAAATCTGAGACCAGGCTCCTGACAAATGATGTTAATGGTGAAATAATAAACGTTCAAATATTAACCTTTTCCATTATGCATAAATTTCGAAATGAAAAATAAAAATAAAGACCTTGCAAGAACTAATTATCAAGAGGTCCACTTTGAAAAAACTATCTACAAAAAACCCAACACAGTAAAGTTATGGCAAAGTTCAAACAAGTGTAAGTGAAATAAGTATGGTGAGATAAAATACTTATTTTATGGTCCGTCTAATTGGATTTTTTGATCAAATTGAAGTTGTTACTAGTTTGTAAGAATAACAAGTTGATTCATTTGCACTTCGTGTTCACACAAGGTTAATAGAAATTGCAGCTGAGATGTTATTACAGCGCGTATAATTGGTGAAAGAAAAAAAACCCAGAACAATGGAGGTTCTGGGGAAAGTGGGGATGAAACATAATTGGGACTAGTATAAATGATATTTGACAGTAATTAACATCACTATGATAAAAAACACTTCGACATAAATCTGTTTATTTCTGAATAATGAAACTGATAACTTGACAATATATTTGTAATTTTACAATTAAACAGCTGAATTGAAAAAAGTAACGGACAACCAAAACTTTTAATATTTAAATGTCTCCTCTTTCCACTCAGCTATTCCAATTGTTATATTTAAAAATTTCACTCAAATACTAAAGGCTAGTTAAATTATTTGTATCATCACACAATATATATGGGAAATGTTTTAATTCGTACGATCTATGCTCATCTGCTAAATAATCAATCACTATCCTTTGGGTACATGAAGTACATAAAACCCATTTCATATCGTTGTTTTTCTAAATCCTTTTAACAATATAAACATGTTTTTTTTTTTTAAGTTGTGACTTTTTTTACTTTAATGGCCGATTTTTCACAGAAAACGGACAAAAATATGTTTTTATATTGTATTAAACTTCAAGGCTTTAATTTAATATAAATTAGACATTTTCAGACCTTCTAGAAAATTAAAAAAAAAAACATTGTACATATGTAAGTAATCTCTATTAAACTCTCTTCTTATACTTGGGGTTTTCATTGAATTTTTTAAAAAGCATGCTGAAAGAAAGCCTTTTGTTTTTAGTAAACCCTATAATTTTAAAATATTTTTTTCTAAATGTCTCAAATTGAAGAGATTTTTTCCAAATTTCAATGCTAATAGATTGAACTAGATTATATACATATAATATTAGATACATATTAATCAATAAAATCGGTCTTTTGAGAACTGAAAATTTTTATGGACAGACATAAAAAACATACACCATTACATAACCAATACCAATACCTACCAATTTTTTTTACTCTAATTCCATAAAACTATTGCTGAAAATATAAAACAGAGAATTATTATACCAATCAGAAATTATTAACAGGTGCAGTAGTTACTAGCAGATCTGGCGCAGTAGAGGTTACCAGTACTGACATGTCCAAGATGATATGCTTTTCTGTGATGACCGATTAGTACTAGCGATTTTTATAATCAGCATAATGTTAGTACTCTGCCGAAATGACAGCCAAATTTTTACCGCCAATACTGAATCAGTATTTAGACAAGATTCTAACCAGTACTACTCTAATATGTTTTGGTCAATAGTCAGTATGATACAATACTTCGCTCGTTTTCAATACTAATGCTTACAACAATTTATGCTTAGTGTCCTTATTTCAACTAAATTTTTAAAAGAATTCTACTAATAATTTTTTTAATCCACGTTATTAATATCAAAAATTGAATTCCTTGTCCGTAAAAATATTTTTACTTAACAGTGCATATATTTTTTTAACAAACTTGTAAGTTTTCAAAGAAATCAAGTTCTTCCAAACCTCTCTTAAATAACTTTATTATATTATTCTAACAACTTACTCAGTTTTGAATGATGAGATGAGCTTTTATTCTTTCCGTCCATCAAAATTTCTATGTGTTTACATTCAAAAAAAACCATTACGATATTCCAAAAAGGTACATAAGTAATTCGACTCCAGAGTAGTAATATGATCTTGATTTTTGAATATGTCAGTATTGGGTCATTAGTCAACACAACATTTTAAAAGGCACTTATTATTGTTTGTATTCAGTCACTACTTTCCTATATTTTACTTCATATTTTCTAAATAATTTATGAAAACATAAGAATTACTTATAAAACCACGTATATGATACTCTCCGTCAATACCCTTTTTTTTATACATATTACCCTAAAATTTTGCCACGTTGAGTTCTAAATAAATTGTTAACAATTTTAAAAATATTAATAATATAAGACACAATCGATCAGTGTTTATTTTATGGTTCTTATTTACTTAATGCAAAATACGTCGAATATAAAAAAATAAAAATTAATCCCAAGAAAATATAAGTTATTAAAATTGGTATTGTTAAGTTAATAAAAACAATAAAATGTAATCGTAATATAATATAATAACATAACTCAATTAAAATTATTATAATAAAAAATGTCATTTGATTTTAGTGATCAATAATAAAACATTATAAAATACTACTAATTTGCAAAATACACAAAAGTATTTATTGTTAAATAAATCACATTTCTAGTTATGGTAAGTCAGGTAAATGACGTATTAAAAATGAAATTATAAAATCTACTATTTTTTATTAAATCACTATCTACACATATCCAAGATCATGTGTATTCTTCATGATTTTATTTTAAGTTAAAAAATTAAGGAATCTACTTATCAGACAACTTTATCATAAATTAGTCTTAGTCACTTATTATCATTTTTAAATTTTCAATTCGATTCATAATAACAAATTAGTATTTAAAAAAAAACAAAATATGGGCCGTTTTGACAAAAGAAAGTGTAATTTGAAGCAATAAGTGAACAAATAACAATTAAATGCTTCTAAATTGCAATAATTTAACAGCAGATGAAATGTTATATTACTCCATTTTATTATAGATTTTAAACTTTGTAGAGAACTATTATTTGTAACTAAAGATCAAAAATGCATTTGTGGTTAAAGTTCTCAAATTACATAAAACTACATTTATGTATTAAATGGTTTCTATCTTCTATTGAATGGAATACGTTTAAAATGTACTATACTCTATAATATTAGTCATATTGTTGAATAAGTTCACTAATTTTATGTTTTGGTTGATGTATACTACATAATAAGTTGAAAAAAGTAAACTATATTGTAGTTAATATCATAATAGATAAATATTATATATAACAGGACGTTTATAATCAACCGCTAAAACACTGTACCCATAATTCATTTGTATATTAATTTAAACAATAATTTATGTATATGTAAGCAAATCGTTTAAAAAGATCTTTTAACTTAACCGTTGTTATTACACAATTTGTAAATGTTATTGTTTTTAATTATATTATATTGTTTCTAGTGATTCAATTATTTTTTTTTTAATATGACATTTTATAAAATATTACTAATAATTAATAGGATTGCTTAGAAAAATCTGTCACGGCACAGTGGGGCCGTGGCATAGTTGGAACAAGTATAAATGATATCTGACAGTACCTAACATCACTATTATAAAAAAGGCTTCAAAGCGAATCTGTTAAATTTCACAGTAATTTGGATATTTATCATTTTTCTATATTGAATCGTAGATTGACTTTGTTGGGTTCAAATAAATTTTAAGAAATATATCGTGGTAACGTTTTTCTATTTTTTATCAAAAAATAATCTTGAAAATTTTTAATTTGGTATAGGTTTAAAGAATGTAGCGTCCTAAAACATTATCAAAAATTTATTATAAAGTAATTTTGTTGTAAAAATTGCAATTTTTTTTACTTTGATGCCTAATTTCTCATAGAAAAACAATCATTGGGCAACATTTTTTAAATCATGTAGTATATTTCAAAAGCTTTAATTCGAAATTTGTTAAAAGTTGTCATATCTTTAAGGACATTTTAAAAAATCAAGGTCAAAAATAATTTTTACATTTGTAATTGATCATTTTCAAACCTTACTTGTACTTAGGCTTATTATTGGATTTTTATAAAAATCATTCCGAGAGAAAGCTTATTGTTCTTAATATACCCTATTAAAACATCATTAGAACCAATATTATTGTAAAAGAAAGATACAGCAATTTATAAATGCCGTTTTTTAGGGTTTTATATTTTTGAGATATTATTTTAAATTTCTAAAATTAAAGTTTTCAAATTTTGACGCAGTTGGTGCAACTTTAATATCGGGTTCTTTTTGCATATTACTCATTAAAATTAGTCCATTGAGAGCTGAGAATGTTCATGGACAGACATAAAAAAAATCCACTGTCCCAAACCAATACATTCTCAGCTTTGTATCAAAACTAAAAGGTACATTAATATGATTTCTAATAATGTTCCATTTCACAGTCATTGTTATGGAAGAGAAGACTATACATATATATATATATTGTATTGGGATATATGAAGTAATGTGTTGGGATTTCTACTGTAATAACTTTATGTGATACATTTGTAATTAGTTTGCAATAATAATAAAAGTTTTGTATTAAGTATTTTGAGTATTTACAACTGAATAATATATTATTGAATTGTTAGGATATATAAAATAAATATTATATATTTGTGATAAAATTTTATTTATCTTGTAGTATAAAAAATGGAAAGACTATGAATGATTTTCTTGATTTTTTAAACTATTTGAAGTTTATTGAATTAGAAATAAATGATGTAGATAACAATGTTTATAATTATGTGTAAAGGAGGTATCATCGTAATGTCAATGATCCTATTGAACTGCATAGTGAAAATCAGTTTTTTAAACATTATAGTTTTTCAAAAATATAGTCATAAAATGACTAGAAATTTTGTGATTACAATTTATTCCATTATGAGATTATTTTGAAATGTCTTGAAATATATATTTAAACATACTGAATTTAAAATTTTTATTTCTGTACTAAGTATATAATTTTAATTATTTAAAAAAAAGATTGGAATAATATTATTAAAGGCTGCATGTGATGACTTCAGAGAGATTCATCAGAGAACAGTATCCAGAATTATTAAGAGAATTTCTCATCTGATTAGGTCATTGCTATGCATACGGTCGTTAATAATGTAAAAAATATGTATATTTAATGTCAAAATACTTTTTAATTTTCTATAAATGTAGTTGTTGGGTACAGAAGTGGATGCTACAGCAATTTCATTAATTTTGACAACACTAGCGGTTTGTTGACTACCGGGCGCTTCGACATCTAGACTGCCTCGTAGACAATTCATATTTAGCAGTGGAATATAAATTCGGCCTCAAATCAATTTACGTATTTCTGCACATTTTGTTATTTTTCTCATACAAATAGTGCCGCCGCCATATACAGTCTTGATTGTCCTTTAGCAAATATTTGACCTGTGTATATTTCCATCGTCCTGCAATTCTTTCATATCTTTTTCCATTACTTTTTTTGGTTATCGCCGTCATGACATTCTTTGTCGTCATCGTTGCTCATCTCATACAAACATTGCACGAACGTTCATCCATCGTCCTATTTACCCATCTATTCTTCAATCAACACCACCTTCAAGCCATCAATAAGGCTAGAATGATGAGAATTACTTTGACATTTGATTATAGTTTTTTGTTTAATTTTACATATTTAATTGGAATTTAGTAATTAGCGGTCCATTGTCCACAGTACTTATGTTATAACAACTGTGTTATTCATTATATTAACAGTCCACTGTCCTTACTCCTTTCATTCCTTCAGATATTTCATCGTCTTACTTTATAGACAATAAAATGTATTATTTATATTTTCTATTGCTTATTTATTTTCGTAAATCAACGTGCGATAGGTTATACAGTGGCCAAACAAATTTTTTAAAAAATACTGCCTCAGTACATTTTGTCAAACATGAACAAAAATCTTTCTGCAATAAATATTTAGTATCTTTTTATAAGCTACTATCACAAAAATCCTGATGTGAACCATAATTAGTAAAAATACCCAGAATATCAAAGAGTACAATAATTTCTTATTCAAATTAAAAAACAGTATTTTGATCAAAATTGTTTTGTACTAATATTGTTTAATTTATTGCGGTTATTACATCTCGATGAACAGTTTATTAGTCTTAAATCATAGACTTATTTTCCACACGTTTCTAGTTGACTTCACCTATAATAGCTACGTAACATTCTATAAATACAACGCTAATAGTTCATTTGTGATTTTTTATTCTATATATAAAATAAGATAATTATTTTTTTTTTTTTTAAAACTTCAACTATCATAAAAAAATATTAATAATGAGGTAATTCTGTGAATATCACGAGTTAAATGTTGTACTCAATGAACTTTATTTCTAAATATAATGCTAACGAGAGTTTATGTTTTTTATAGAGAATTATGGGTAAGAGCAATCCACCAAATACATAGCCAAAAAAAAAAAAATCAACAGCTAAATGACACACAAACAACAGAGTCAGATTCCAACATTACAATAGTAAGAATTGGCATAAAAGCTTTTGGGCGTAATTTTAGCTTAATGTTTATTTCACAGGATACGTTTGACTGCACCGTAGACAATAACATAAATATACCACCAAATCCAGGTAATGCTATCTTAAATTCATAAAAATCAAAAATTTCTTCATTTATACTATACATTTCTTAAATCTCATCAAATAAACGGAAATATTGTATATTATGTATCATTTACACATTATAATAACTATACATTCCTTTTATAATAAATTTTAATATAGATCTGCTTTTAATTTACACAACTATTATAAATCAAAATCATTACAAATTAGTTTCAATACTTGATAATATTAAATTATGCACTATACATTTTAACCTAATTATATTAATCCTAAGTTTGTTTATTTTAATGTCAAATTCAATTTCATAAAAATACAGAGTGATTTTTTTAATCCTAACCAATCGATTTCTCTTAAAATAATAATTTTAAAAAGGCATTTATTCATAACTTTAAAAAACTGTTTAAAATTACTTATTACTTCACATCTTATTAATAAGTTTACTTAATTTCAATGCTTGAATTATTATTTACTCTATATCATAATAAAAAATAAATTATGCTCATGAAAATTATCTGAGATTTTTTATTTGTAATTTATCAGAAACGTATAAGTTTTACTTGATCAAGTATAAAAATAAAACTGTTTACAGGCGTGTTTTATGAGAGTAGGAAAGGTAATAGGATTATAAAAAGTATATAACTTACAATGAGTGGAGAAAAAATGAGAAATCATACTATTACCTAGGGCCGAAAGCATTTTGTGTAAATGCGAACGGACGTATCGTAACAGTAAATCTGAAAGAAGAGACTATTAGGAGGGATAGTAACTACAACCCAACAGGTTAGGAGAGATCGAAGAGTGGAAAGTGTGTACTTGATGAACGATCATGTCAGCGAAAATAGCGAATTGTCTCACCTACACATTCGTTTCTTCAACCACCATGACTATTTCTCAACGCATTACGTTTCTTCAATATACGTCATTATTTTTTATACTTCAAGTGGTCATTAGATAAGAAAATTGAACCATAAGAATTCCAATAGGTACCCAGTTCTCTTTATCAATGTAATGATTAAACTACGTAAACACAATAAAAGCTCCTAAACTATAAATTAGCCAAAAGGATAACGACTAATTCTACCAAGAGATCATTTTCTTGCTTTTACTGAGTAGGTTTAGTATTTTTGCTAATGATTCACGACCATTATCAGAAAATAAATATCTAACTTGCATGTCTAAACATATCTCATTTCGGGAATATTTTGAAAAATAATTACTGAATTGTCGAAATTGCAACGTAAATAAATGCTTAAGTTAGTTTTCAAATTTTAATATACCTAATATACAATAAAAATGTTGGTTAATATTATAAATAACTTATAAAATTAAAGATTTTTATATGCAATATACATTATTCTACGCTCGCAAAAATTAATTATGTTAATTTTTAGCTAACCATATTAACTACTCTTTTATGCAAACACTTCTTTTCTTTTGTGTTGTTTGTTAAGACGATTAGAAGTTGAAACAATAGTTATAATAACTTAGTTCATTATTCAAAATTGCTCAAGGTTTAGGTCAAATGGTCCATCATAAGTACCGCTAAAAACTTTAAGATTACTGTATTCATAATTATCGAAATTAATATCAAATAATTTTTAATTTATTTATTTAATTGTCGATAAAAAAGTTTTTATATACATTACAAATAAATATAATTGATTTTTTTTAACCGATGAGCAAGTTTAAATATGTACTCACTTTTATATAGTAAAATTATACTAAAAATTGTTGATTTTCTTATTCACTAACGATAAAAAGTACCTCACAGAGTCAATTTAAACTAATGACAATGCATTTCTATGTCAAAATTAATTGGGTTTCTTGTCTACCCATAGGATAAATAAAATTTTTCAACTGCCACTGCCATAAACAAAAATACGACATCTTTATTGTTACAGTAAAATACATTTAAATATTTGTTTATTCATAAAATAAACTGTCAATCGACAAAAATGGCTTAAATTAAAAATAAATTTAATTCTTATAAAATTTAATTATACATATACAGAGTTATTCACTTATCATGAACTATTTAATTAATCGAAAAATAAAAATAATAATAACAAAAGCAGCTACCATGTGAACTTTAAATTCCGACAGTTGACCGTGAAAAGCTAAAAAACGAATAAAACTGTTTCACAAGCTAAAATACAAGTAATTTTTGTGTTATGTTTTTTATTAAAATTGTTCGTTGCTGCTATTATTGTTTTGATTTATTATCATACGAAGACAATCAAATTTTGCCGTCTTCACGATGACAATAAATAGGAACATTAACGATTTTGTATTCTAGCTGTTTTTGAATATTTGAAACTGTTCTGGAATTTCTAAATAATTTAAACTATATCAAATTAAAGATCATGTAGTGTACTACAATATTAAAACAAATCCATAAATTTTTGTTCTACTAAGTTCGAGTAAAAAAATAATGTTTTATTTTCAATTAAGAAGCAAATATCTAACAAAAGTATTTAAATGAAATCCAAAATAAACAAATAATTGTGAAATTTAATAGATTCACATCAAAGCGTTTTTTATGATAGTTATGTAATCATTGTCAGATATCATCTATACTTGTCCCAATTATGCCTTGTCCCCACTTTACAAATTGTTAAAGTGGAAATTAGTTTACCACTAAAAAAAAAAAAAAGTTATCAAAAACTGCAAATTTAGCTTAATAATTTATGTTTCGAATGCAATTTTGAAGTGAAGATGAACGATAATGTTTTTAAAATTTTTAATACAATTTTGTTTAATGCCAAAATTAATTATGAAAAATGCTATAATATATTATGCATATATTAATTATAAAGAATAATTAACAATATAATTTAAAAGAGAGATGAATTCAATAAATTTTGAATTTCAATTGATAACAAACTATAAATAGTTGATAGCAATATTACATAATCAATGATTGAAAATTATTAAAAATGTTAAATGTTCTCAAATAAATATTTATCATAATATTATTGTACTCTCAAATAAAAGTTTTGCTACCGATAAGTAAATCAAAAATGGTATATTTAATTTTTTACAGAAGAAACTTTCCAATAATGTCTTGTAAAAAACTTAAAAAATACACTAAAATTTTTATTAATTAATGTATAAATTTTAAAATAAACTTTACCCTTCGATTCATTACATAAGACTATATTTGTGATTATAGTTTACAGTAGAATGGAAAAATTAATAGCTTACTCCGCAAGTTTATTGTTATTACTGAATTGACATAACTAAAAAAATCAATCCTAATTATACCAACTAATCCCAAAATGATTTATTGCAAATGAAAAATACCTAAGTAGAATTTTATGTAATTATATTTCTTTGACACTTAAAGCAAATTAAATTATTTTTATGATTACTACCACTATCGTTCAAACTTAAAAACGCAATACAATCTATAAAAGTTTATACTTTGTATAGCATGTTTTGAAGTGGCTATAGGGGAATTAAACCGTATACCAACTACTCAAATCGATTTCAAATAATGTATTTTTAAATTACATTTCGTAAATTAGATGTGCGATGTACGACATGTAATAATTAGATAAATTATTCAAATATAACTAGCATTGTCTATTTTTCATTTAATATTTTGTTAATAGATGATAAGATTTTCAAGTATCAAATCTTTAAATATATATTTGCTTATTTCGAGTATTTTATAAATATTGAAATTATATTAAAACAATTAATTTTATTTAAAACTTATACAGGCAACTAACATAAAAGCTATTAAATTTTTTAATTAAGGTAACTTAAACAGAAACATGAAAAGACCTAAAAGTGTAATAAAATTTGTTTAAAAAAATCATTAAGGATAATTATTATTACATACATTAGAGAAATAAACGAAAATGAATTGCAGTCAATTCGTATTCAAAATTCCATATATATTTTTAATTTATTTAATATTATTCAGGGATCCTTAGTAATTACCAGAACTAAATGTTTTTATTTATAAAATAAATACTCAAGTTTAATAGATTAATAACCGTCTAGTTAAAATAATTTTCATAATGTATAAAAAGTTACCAGTCTTAGAAATAAAATACAATAATAGTCAATTATTTAAAAAAAAGTTTGATGTAAAATTCAGTAAAAACATTTAAAAGGTAGTAACAGTAATATAATTGAACAATGTGTTTTCAATGAAGACAAGAGATAAAATGATATCACTGTGGCGCTTGTTAGTTAAAATTGGTCCTATAGAATGAAACCATTTCTATATTCAATGATTTCAATTGTTTTAAAAAAAAAAAAATTATTATAACAAACTTTTTCAGTAAAAAGTTGGAGAATAGGAGAGGTAAGTTAAATATACTCTAAAAAATATTTAAGATTGTTTACAATCTTTTTAATTTTGGGGGCTAAAAGTTTTTATATCTCCCTAATTTATATATTTTAGTTAATTTTAAATCTCAATGAAATAACCAGTGCGATAAATTAGAATTCCAACGGATATAATGGAAAATACAATTCCTTTATTGCAATACTTAATACTTTTGCTTAATTTAAAATTTTGTGTAATTTTATTTGATAAATTTTCGATTTCAACTCAATTGAGTTTAAAATCTAAAATTTACAAGATGATGTAGTAAACATGTAATAACTATAGATTTTGCACAATTGTGTAACGGTCTACATAATAATGTTTACTGAAAAGAGGAACACCACCAAACAAAAACCAACAAACAATATATAAAATAATACACTTTCTTTTGTATAAAATAAGTTAGATAAATAATATTATTGTGTATCAAAAATCCCAATGGAAAAAAAATTTGTACAGAATTCAAAAATAAAACGTAGTTTACATTAAAAACTAAACATGTATTACAATGAATTCTCTTACTTATACATATACATTTATATGGTTAAAAATGTTTATTATTTAATGTATAATGAAAAATACGAATATTTGTACTCCAGTAACTAATTCAAAGCATCTTTACAAGTAAAAAAAAGTTTCAATAGCAAAGTTTTTATTATAATAAAATATTAAATATGAAAGGTTTAAAATGGAAGTCAATAGAATAATTTTTACTTTACGAATGTTCAAATTAAATCGATAAACTTATTTTAAGGGTTTATTATGTGTATATTTTATAATACATTTTTTTTTTTTGATAGTAAGAGTAAATTAATAATAAGGTCATTTATACATAAATAACATAAATAATTATACAAAAATATTATAATTTTTGTAAAAAAAATATACAACTTACATAACGTTTTTCTAATTGTCTTTTTGAAAAAAACTAAATTTTATAGATGTTCCTAAAAAAAATATTTCGATTTGTACATTTCAGTATTTGAGATGTTTTTGAATGAACATAAACATTTTTTTTCTCATACATCAAAAACAATATTCTCTTTAGAAAAATACAATATACAGAAAAATTTGAAATCCATTATTATTTCTCAAATATTTTTGTAAAATAAATTAGTTCGCAAAGTATTTCACTATTCATTTGTAAGCACTTAAAGAATACTTCTCTCAATAAAGTACTCAATTAATAAAAAGTACACTGATGTAAAAAATAATATTATTTAAATTAAATGATATTGTTATCTTATTTATATTTTACAGTACTTTCATTAGACCATTTTTAATAAATCTTTTAAAGAAATACATTTCATACCATTTCTGTACGATACAACTTTCATTTTCCTTTAGTCAATAATTTATGATTAATTATTGGTTTTATTATATAATTGTACAATTATGTTAATGAATTTAATAATTAAATGATGTTTTCTTTAATTGTTAATTTATGTATATGAAAAAAGTCTTAACAGATTTATTTGATAGATGTATAAAAAGTTAAGAAATAATTTTTATTATAGGCATGCTTTTATATTTTAGCTGAATACTCAGAGCCTGTATTTAAAAAAGGAAGCGTATACAAAGGGATCTATTGTCCATCGTTAACAAACAGTTTCAGAGAGCCTAGTCTAGAACTATCCTATCAAAGGTATTCACACAGACAACGACAAAAGTCTTTAATAATTGTCAACTTCGTCGATATGACATTAAAGGCAGTTTTAGCCGGTAAAATATTTTTTTATTGGAGTATTAATATTAAAGATCTATAATCTTCCTTTTAAAATGAATGATCAATAATATAGTTTAAAGAAATTTAAATCAATAGAGAAATATAACGAATCACAAAAAATTATAATTAAATCAAAATAAATCAAGTTAATGATTAAATTAACAAATAAATGGACATTGTACTAGGTGTATGGTTGTTACCTTCTTATCAAGATTATCCATATACAAATCAACAAAGAACCTTTTGGACTTGTTTAACTATGTTGGCAAACTTAACAGTTTGTCTACTCGGATGGTGGAAGTGTTTCGCCAATAACTATCTCCAATGGGCCGCCGTTTTCACGTGGTTCTTCATAAATATTCAAGGTCGAATATCACAAAATTATTACTTTGTATCAATAATGAATAACTGATTTTTTTATTTTAGGGTTTGTTTGGGAGAGCTATGGACAAGGTTCCAGAGAGTATTTAGTTTGGTATGTGCTATTCATAGTTTTTGTTACTTATGCTATGTTACCACTTCCATTGAAATGGTGTATTCTTGCCGGGTGTTCTACAGCATTATTACATATACTAATTACAAGCTATACAAAATCATCAAAAGAAAAGGTAAGTAATAGTACAAATTATTATATGTATCTGTTTTGTCGTTATAATTAATAATTACCTTCTTGATGATTGAATTGATTATAGAACGCTTTATGCGTAGCCCGACAACTAACCGCAATGACTCTATTGTATGCGGCCGTCAATTTTGCTGGAATGTACACTAAGTATTTAACAGACAGAAGTCAGAGAAAAGCTTTTCTAGAAACTCATCGATCTACCGAAGCTCGGTTTAAAACACAAAAAGAAAACGAACAACAAGAAAAACTTTTACTTTCAGGTAAATCGGCACTAAATATAGAAACTAACAATAATTTTTCATTTAATTTTCGATTTTCCTTTGGTAGTTTTGCCAGATTTCGTGGCAAGAGAAATTATTAAAGATATTGCTTCGGAAACAGATAAAGGGCCATTTATGCCAAATCAGTTCCATAGGATTTACATTCATCGTTATGAAAACGTCAGTATACTTTTCGCCGACATTAAAGGGTTTACAGGTTTGTCATATACATCATCCTATACTTTTACAGCTACCCACAGAAATATTATGAATTCTCCATTTGCAATATATCTTATACTCACTTAGTTACTAAATACTTCTTTTTTAGAATGGGCGAGTCGAACATGTGCTCAGGAGTTAGTAAGAGTTTTAAATGACTTATTTGCAAATTTTGACAAATTAGCAGCTGTAAGATGTATAATAAAATTTATTACAAGTAATTATTAACATAAATGTTAATTGATTTGTTTTTTAGGAAAACCATTGTCTTCGAATCAAACTTTTAGGTGATTGTTATTATTGCGTATCAGGTCTTCCACAAACAAGACAGGATCATGCAGTTTGTTGTGTAGAAATGGGTCTACATATGATAAATGCAATAAAAGAAGTGCGGAACAAACTGAACGTGCGTATTTCCATTCCATGTAACTTTTGTATACATTTTGCTAGATTATTTTATTTAAAGGTCGATTTGAACATGCGTATTGGAATTCATTCTGGGTCAGTTCTTTGTGGTGTTCTAGGCCTTAGAAAATGGCAATTTGACGTGTGGTCATATGACGTTACTTTAGCAAATCACTTAGAATCTGGTGGTATTCCTGGGTATTTATCACATAACACTGTTATAAACAAAAGAATTATATTAAATGCTGTTATTAATCATTTTAGGCGAGTTCACATATCTAAAGCAACTCTAGAATGTCTTGAAGACACTTATGATATAGAACCAGGATATGGAGAAAACCGCGACACTTATTTAAGGGTAATTATTTCTTTAAAACTCATTAAGAACAATATAAGCAAAAAATCTATTATTCTAAAAAATATGTTGATATAGGACCATGGTATCGAAACTTTTTTAATAAAAGAACAAGAGCCTTGCCGGGGATATAGAAAATTTCAAAAAATAAGTTCATCTAGACCTCGTTTATGGTCAGATGAGAAATTAAGTATAAATACAAATCCACAAAAAACAATATCTCCTAAATTAGGTGAGAAGTGAATAATATTACACTATTATATTTTTGTAATAGTAACTTATAGTTTTTTTAATTTTAAAAAAGTGTTGTACCTCATAGTATTTTAGCTTAAGAGTATCTTAATCTATAACTATATTTTTTTATTCTTTAATGAATTTTTAGAAGAATACTTGGATGATATTAAATGCAATGAATGGACTCCAGAAATTCCATTTGAAAATGTAATGTTTTTGCACTAATCTTATAATATATAAATGTATAGTATAAATTAAATTTAAATTACAGCTAAATACAAGTGATCAAGAGTTAGAAAATGACAATGGCGAGTGCGGTACTCCTATAACGATAGAAGGTGACGTCGAACACGCTGAAGACATAATGGATCACTGTATAGAAGTTGAAAGTAACGAAAGAATGAGAAATGAAAATATTAAGCGATGGACTTTAAGGTTTAAACAGCCTGACATAGAAACAAAGGTATTAAATTCTATGTATCTAATTCATTTTTATTTGTTGATATTTAATTTTAAATAAATTGTTTTTTTTCAAATGTATGTAATCATAACAGTTTTGTCAGTTGAGAGAAGATATGTTCAAATCTAACATGGCGTGCTGTTTTATTATATGGCTACTTGTTGTATGCTGTCAAACAATAATGTTACCAAGATGTATGAAGCTATTAGTAGCATTAGCCTTTACCACTGTGATTCTTTGCGCTGCACTAACTCTAGTCATGGCTGAAGAGTTTACTCATTTGCCATCTGCCTTACAAAGAATGTCTTCAATTCTTGTTCAAAACCGATTTAGGCGAACAATGTTCATATGTGCAGTTGTTGGACTAATATGTTTCTCCTCCATACTAAGCTTAGTGAGTTAATCTTTTTTACAATTATTTTATATAAAACAATCAATTTCTATATAAAACTCAATAACTGTCCATCGATAGATTTTTACACCAGATGAGCATATGATAAAGAAAAAATCACCAAAAAGTAACTTTTATCAAAATAATGATCAGAAATCAGGGGAAAATGAAACGGATGACAACAGTGACTGCGTTCATCCTGAATACCTAGTATTTACCTGGGTCTTGTGTTTAATTGCATTAGCTACTACATTAAAGCTTTACTTTCTAGTCAAAACGTTACTAGCTTCCATTATGGTGACAGTATACACAGGGCTCACTTCTTTTGCATACCCTCAAGTGTTCACTCAAATCGACACTGATCAACTAACCATGCCTTTGTCTTCACAAATGCTTGTACTTTTGATCGTATTTTTAGTGTTGGTGGCATATCACGCACGACTTGTGGAAGTGACTTCCCGTTTAGATTTTTTATGGAAACGAGAAGCCGAACGAGAATTAACTGAGATGCGAGAAACTCGAACTAATAACCGACAATTGCTGCGCAACATACTGCCTGACCATGTGGCACATCATTTTCTATCTTCCTCTCGAAGACATACTACGGATGTAAGTACTAATGTGTTCTGATTTAAATAAAATTATAATTCTTAAAAGTTTCTTTTATAAAAATTTTAGTTGACAAGTAAATAGTTCTTGAAATTGTATGCATACAGTAAAATAAATTCTTTTCAGTTCATTATCTCTTTAACATCAACAATTAAGATATAAATCTAAGTTCCCTTTTTATTTTAAATTTATTTTGAATGTTAATATAAAATTAGTTAGAGTATAGGAGGATTTGATTAAGATAATAGATTAATAAAAATTTATTTTAAAAAATAAAAATAATTTAATGTATTATGTAATGTAAATAATTCACGTTTGTGTTATCAAAAATAGATTGTATTACAATTTTTTTGTATTAAATTAGTAGTAGACTCATTTTTTTAACTATAATTTTTATGTAAAAACCTCTATATACATGTTTACTAATAGATTTTTATTTAAAATTTTTATTTTTAAATGGAAAAAAATTAAAAACTGTTTTTCCTATTTGTATAGGAATTATATTCACAGTCAATCGATAAAGTCGGCGTCATGTTCGCTAGCATCCCAAATTTCACTGAATTTTATTCAGAAGATATAAACAAAGGCATGGAGTGTATCAGATTACTAAATGAAATCATCGGTAGGTAGTACTCTGATGTATAGTAGGAGTTAATTGAATGCTACTGGATAATTAAATTTAATCTAGTCCTCAAAATCATATAATAGCTGAACACAATAAAATTTTAATCTGAGTCACAATTTTAATATCTCAATTTCTATACATTTATTAATCATTTCTTCATTTACAACTGTCAGGTAGATTCAATTTAAATAAAGGGACGAATCTAACGTATTCTGTCTACCACCACGAAAATTAATTAATTATATTAACTTCTGCGTAATATACAGAAGTCAATGTAGCGTTAAACTTAAAACATATTATATTTTAAGTTTATAGAATTTATAAATACATCACGTATATTTAAAACATTGAATGTGTTTTACCATTGACATTACGAGATTGGTTTGTTAGTAATTGGTTTTTTCATCATTTGTTTAGTCTTTTAACTCGACGGGAACAAAAATTGAACTCGTTAGTTAGATCAAATATCGCTATAAAAATTCAAAGCGAATAATCTTATTTTTGTAGAATATGCATATTGATTAGTTTGTTTGTTTTTCATCAGCCGATTTCGACGAATTATTATCGGAAACCAAATTTGGATATATTGAAAAAATTAAAACTGTCGGTGCAAGTTACATGGCAGCTTCCGGACTTAATCCTATTGCGAAGGTGAGTTATGACATCGGCTTGAACAAATCATCAATATTTTGTTGATTTTGATAATATTATGATTAAATAATTATCAAGTAACTTATTAAATTTATTTTTAATATTTTTTTTTTGTAAATACTTAGGATTGCATTAAAAGAATTTTCAAACTTTCATTTTTACAATCACAGAATATAATCATGAAATAATTTTTATTCAATAAAAACTTTTATTTTTAAGAAAGGAGAAGACGAATATGGTCATCTATGTGCATTAGTTGACTTTGCATTAGCTATGAAACAGTGTTTGCAAGACGTTAATGTCCATTCATTTAACAATTTTCAGCTTAGAGTTGGTGAGATATAGCAATTTATTAATTATTAAATAATAATTACAGTCATTAAAACAACTTTCTTTTTTAATGTTATTTGAAACACTTTATAATTGTAAACAACAACGTCAGCAATAATTCTAGTTACATATTTAAATAATAACTTTACAAATTAATAATACTAAATTGTAGTACTACAATAATAAACATATAAGAGTAGATTGTGTTATAATTATAAATATTTTTTAATTATATAATACAAAATGTTTAAAAAAAATGATAAAAGTTAAACATATCAAGATAATTTAAATCTTATAAATATATTCCTCCAATATCAATAAATCAATACAATCCATTAAATATTTAAATTTATAGACGCAAGTTTCCATAAAAATCACTATAGGTAGTAAAAATAATAATCTCTTTTTTATCTTTATAACCTTAGCAATACATATATATTGAAGAAAATTATGACAGTAAAAACTTTTCATAAAAGTTATTCGCTATAGAAAATAAAAATATTCTATCTATACCACCTATATTATACACCAAAGTTACAAAATATATTTTCTTTCACACACGTGAGGTATCGTTTTATAAAATTAAACTTAACTGTAATCTTACATATTTGTGACAGTGCGAAATTAGTATTTTTTTAGCTTCGATACAAACCTGAGAAGTTTTTGAATAATTGTTCGATAAATACATTGAGTTATAATACACAAAAACAATTGAAAAACAACATACGATATTGGCAATAAGATTTCATTTCATTTATGAAAAAGCTTTTTTATTATATATAATAGAATATACATATGTATTAAAGTAACGGATTCTTTATTTATGTGTGTCAGGCATAAGTTGTGGCGCTCTCGTCGGTGGAGTCATTGGAGCGCGTAAACCCGTGTACGACATTTGGGGTAACACCGTGAACGAGGCCTCCAGGATGGATTCTACGGGTGCAATGGGTCGGATACAAGTACCTGAGAGCACAGCAAAAGTATGAAATCAAATAAACGCCAATGCTAAAATATTAAATTATATCAGATCGCTGTTCCATAAAATTAGATATTTCTTTTCTTCAATAGATAAATCTACAGGAAGAATTGTACATTTTATATAAAATTATAATTTTCTATAAAATTAACAATTTAAATGCAAATATTTCTTAAAAAATTATAACTTTTCAATATTTTTTGAACACTCATAATTTTAAAAAATGTCCGAATTTTTAATACTATATGTCAATATTACTCTACTTATGTTTAAAAGTAACATTTATGTTAAAATTATCATATGTATGGGAATTATTGGACATTTTCTTACAGTGCGTCCCAACTCAACTTGGTCCAACATCTCACTCTGTTTCTTTGAATACACTTTTCAACTGTATTTCAATAAACATTATTAACTGTCTTGAGGTTTTAGATTTAAAAAAATAAACAAATTTAATACTTAAAATTGTTTTAATTTTAGTCAAATATAATTTTAGTTCTATTCCTCCACTTCGCATAGGGCAATTGTTTTTCTNAAACAATTTTAATTTTAGTCAAATATAATTTTAGTTCTATTCCTCCACTTCGCATAGGGCAATTGTTTTTCTAACTATTGAAATTAATTAAAAATTCAGATTGACAGATTGTGAAGATGTAACTTTTTTACTACAATTACATATAATTATTCGTTTTTTCTTTCAAAATCATCTTACAATTAGTGATAGGTGAATCGTTTTTCTAGTTAATACATATTTAATCATTGTTTTAAAAATAGATTTGAGTTTCACAAATATTCCATGTTTAAGTTAGTTATTGTTATGCTAGATGTGTATGAAAAACAACATGGCACACCACTGTTGTCTTCGATAAAAATAAAGTTTAAGACGTCATATTGAAAATCGTATACTATAATACATTATGTTTTCAACATACATTATTCATATAGGACATATGAAGAATAAGAAATAATTGTAATATTCAAATTAAGATATTATACTTTCTTATAAAAACAACAGCATGTCCTATTAGATAAAATAGTAGCATCGACCTTGATTTCTCCAAGTTCTTTCTAAAAAATTGTAGAAGCAAATGCATATACTCCGTGGGTGTGTGATTATGTCATTTTAAGTTTGTGCTGTACATCAATAACCAATAAGAAATTTACATAACACCACAGTAAACACATTTATACATACTACGGTGTCGTTTTTAATACCATTAAATATTCAAAATATACGTATAGGCGTATCAGCAAGGAAGAAGTATATTTAAAAGTTATACAATTCTCATGAATTTAAGTTTCCCCATCCATTTAAGTTGTCACATATCGATACAGTAAATATACAATAGAGGTTGTAGACAGTCTTATACACCATATGCATAATTATAATAAAATTTTAAGAGTGCTAAATTGATTTTTCCCCGTCCTAATTTTTTTTTATATAGGCAATAAGTATTTATATGACATACTACTTTTAGTTGAAGAATTTGAAAAGAAATAATGTCAATTACCTCTTAAAACTTTAAAAGATAACTTTTAATTGTATTAAATACACATTTCTTCTATTAATTGATAATAAAGTAAAAATCAAAATTTCTAATTAACTTTTCGAGATATATGACTATTATGTAATTTTACTAAACACTCAGAGTAAGATCATATACACTATTTATATTAACAATACATTATTTAAAAGCTCTAAAAAAATATCTTATATACAATATTTAAGTTTTATTTGTATTATTAGTTTTATTTTTAACAAATAATATACATACCTTTGATTTTACATAATAAATTTTAATCTAAGTTAATGCAGTCTTAATTAATTAATACATAACATATTATGTTATGGTTTGAATGTGATTTATTAAATTACATTTATACATTAAAAATACTTAATAATAATTATAACAAATTTATTTTGTTCAATAAAAAAACATAATAATACATACCAAAACGACATAATTCTTTTTTTTAGAATAATTTTTTTTTTAAGTTCTCGTGTCATATTAAAAATATTCCCTCAACAATATGTAAAATGTTATAAAATATTGAAGAGCTTATTCTTCATTTAAAGAGCCTCAGCCACCTCTAGCCCCACTTATTTGCACTATGTTCATACGTATAAACCATTGTTAGTGATCCAATTTTGAGATTGTTACATTTTATATTAACTTTCATGTAGGAACCATTAATTAAGCAACAATGAGTATTGTTATCAGAGCTTAGAAATTTATACATTTATAAAATTCGTATAAACCATTTCTGAGACACCAAATTCGTGAAAAATTATAATAAGTGTATAGTGTATAGTAACACAGGAATATTTTTTGTTCTAGGTCAAAGTGATCCTTACGTTCCTCGACTACATTTTTAATTAACATACACTGTTTAATGTTAAGAAAAATTAACATAAATATTTATTGACCATTGATAGACTCGGGATAACTAAAATAAACCTCATAAATACATTGAATCTTAAACTTTGGTTATTGTTATAAGTATAAGTATTTTTGTGTAGAACTTATATTTTTATTATTTGTTTATCATTGCATACAATAATAACTAGTGTAAAACTAGCGTTATTTATTTTTGACTCGCTTTGATTTTATTTTCAGATTTTAATAGACAGGGGTTACGAAACAGAATTTCGAGGTTCAATAGCTGTCAAAGGTAAAGGCGAAATGAGAACACACTTTATATTGGGGAAAAAAGGAGTTGTAACGAACAACTTAAATCGACAGTCAAGTCAGATCAGTAGCCTCGCTACAGTCGTTTATGGAATGGTGCAAGCTCGACGCCGACAAAATACAGTAAAAAGACATTTGCATCGTGAGTTCGCTTCCACTAACAACACTAATAATCTGAACCAACGCGGTAAGCAGAGTTACCATTACTACTCTTTGACGTTATTTGAAAGTAAAAAATCTTTAGTAAATTTTATCATCAAAAATTTGAATGTCTATGTTGGATAATCTTCTTATTTGCGTTAACAGTTCTGATTGGCAGCATTCCTCCATTCTTCACGATTCTCTATTTTACGCTTCGTTTCGTAGTATATTTCACACCTCGTATCCCTAAGTACTGGAATTATTCTACCTAGTAGATTTTTAAATCATAGTATACAAACATTTAGTTGAGCTTTTCTAATCTTCAAAGTTTTATTCCTCTCCTACTTTTTGAAAAATTTCTTCATTTATTATACGATCTACCCATATTATTTTAAAAACTCTCCTATAAATACATTAATTAACTTTTCGAACTCTATAACTTATAAACTATCAAGCTAAATGCACGGACACAATCTAGAGGGGGGTATTTAGAGAATGGGAGCTTAGGTCCGCAAGTTGTGTCCTAGCTTCCCATAAATTATGAAATTAACATGTAAATTTATATTATTAATATAATATATTAATAGTATAAATTTATTATAAATAATATAATATATATATATATTAGGGTGGCCCTCAAAAATCGAATGTCTTTTTTTTTTTTACGCTACCCTTTAATTTTTTTTTAATGGTCAAAAAAATGAGCTGTGCAAAATTTGGGACCGATCCGTTAAGGTTAACCCGTGCCCCCGGGCCTATTAAGTTGAGTCGAAGAGTCAAATTTAATAGAAATAACTGATCTATGTCTCATAACTTTTTTTTCTCTTAACTTAGAATAATAAAAGTAAAACTCAAGTAAAGGAAATTTTACAAGAAATTCAAAAATAATAACTTCAATGTTGTTTTCTCAATAAATAGCCCACAAAAACACTACATACAGTAAAAAACATGTAAAAGTCTTAAAATACGTTATAACTGATTTTGTTGATTTTTAATTATTTATTTT